AGATAATATGTTATATTTTAATCCCTCGGTCTATATTCTCTTATATTATTTTTTATTATTTAATTTACTTTACGTTTTATTATATTCTGATACGTTATCTTTTTTTCTCTTATTATACTCTTTGTATTTTCTTAGATTCTCTTAGATTCTCCGATATTCTATTATTTTTGGTTTATTGTATGAACTGATATAAAAACATGATATATTCATTAAAATTTGTCTCTCTTGTTTCTTCCACCATCACTGTAGATTTAAATAATAGAATCGAATATTATGAAGTTCTTAACATTGCGTAGCTAATAGATATTCCATTTTTTTAAATATATATTTTATGAATGAAATATATATTTACCTTTAAAATGTTCACGGACTGTAAAATTAGAACAAATCACACTCTACACTTGATTTAGAGCCATTTATAAAACATTAACTACCGACAATACTGTTTTTAACATTAGGTCTAATATTGTCTCTGTATATTGTATCAATATTCTACTGTTATGAAGTCAAGATACGGAGTAAAACTAAGGAGGTTAGAAACACGCTCGAGGTCCCCCCCCTCAGCCGGAGTTTACGAGATAACGGCTTACAGGGGGGTGGGGAAATCCTAGATACAGGGGGTGGGGAATATACGAGGGGCTGGGGAAAATCTAAGAAAACCCCGACGTGAAATAAAATCATAATTTTTTCATATTTTAAACAGATATTTAAAATTCTATGGAATAAAATGTTTATTTAAATCTCACACAATGCACATATATATATACACGTCGGGATTTAGAGGTTAAATTTAATGGTCATTTTCTTTTTAAATTTTTGGTTGTCTTAAAGTTTAAATAAAAGGTTTACGGTACAGAATGCTTTTTTCGATGGCTTTATGGCTTTGAAAGATGCAGCTGATAAAAACTGACTGAACTGTTTTCAATATCGTGAGTGTTGATTTGAAAAGGCACTGTGATTCAGACTACATGGTTGAATCACCCTAAGCTAAGGTTTCGGTGCGTACTGAAGGGATCCGCCTGTACTCTGACCGGAGAAGTAGCAGGTTTTGATGTAAAGTGTAAAAGTTAATGACTAGTATTAAATTCAGATTTTTCGTTTTTTTCCATGTTTATACAGTGAATCCCAGATATATGAATACATAGCAAGAGTTTTTTATAATTTCGTATTACGAATTGAAGATCAAATCCCGCGGAAAAATGAGTTTAATATAGCCCTGAAATATGAATGCAATTGATTTATTATTATAAAACTCATTTTTCCGCGGTATTTGATTATAAATATGTAATACGACGTTATAAAAAACTCTTGCTATGTATTCATATATCTGGGATTCACTGTACTTTTTGACTGAGCTCTATGTTTTAACAAATATAGCATTTTATAAAAATTAAATTCCGGGCAAACTCCAAGAAGTGTGTAAGCAATTTGCACTGGTTTTTGTTAGAAATTGATAAAAATTGCATTCGGTTGAAACCCTACTTTTTCTTGCAAGAAATAATTTCAAAATAATCCCATTTCTTTGTAAACTTTGACAAAATCTCATAAACAGAATAATACTTTATTGGCTAGGTAGTGGTTGGGTGGGGTGGGAGGGGGGGATATTGGGAACATACAGTTAAACATTATCAGCTGTTAGACATGTTTCATCGAAAAACAATACAAAACAATAAAAACAATGATTGTGAATGAATAACATAATAAAAGCAAATAAGAAAAATCTATATTGATATCTGCAGTGGAAAAAAATGAAGCTTTTGTAGAATTTAGGAAATAAATAGAAGTGATTTTAAGTGATTAGGGGAGTGGAACATGTTGTAATTGTAATAATAGAGTTCAGGTGTTGAGGGCAGGAAACAGGAAGGGGGGATGTTATATAGGATAGGGGGAATGTTTTGTAATGGAAAAGGGGGATATTATGTAGGAAAAAAGGGGGGGGCTGTTATTTAGTGGAAAGGAGGGGGATATGGGGAATGTAAGCCAAGACATCTGCAGTTAATTAAAACTGATTAGCAGGAAGATTTCAGAGGTTAGAAAAATTCTAAAAATAGATTTTAATATTAAAACGAGGTTTCATCACATTTCTTCATTTAAATATTTCATCTCAGAATAGAAAAGGTCTTGATAAACAAAAAACCCAAAATATTTCAGAATTTCTTAACCTAGCTAAGTCTTTATACAGGAACGAACACTACAGATGTTGATCTCTTATAACTCCCTCCCAAATTTTATTTCTGATACCTTTGGTAATTAAAACTATACGTTCTGTTAGATCAAAAAATCAAGTTTGGAATGACAAATGTGTACATGAGATGGTTGCAAATATGTAGGGATTCGGATTTAGTAGTATGCGTTCCATTTTATTCTTTTCGCTTTCATTTCTCATAATGTGTATGTAATACATATATATTACAAAGTTAACAATCCTTTGTAAAAAGACAGATTTCACAAATAACTTTGCATCCAAAAAAAATGTGCACTGCTTGATGATGTTCTATAGCTGTCTATTTCTTCGTAATATAGAACTCATTGTAGAAATTGCTTTTGAATACAATGTACAATGTTTGTTCTATGAACCTTGCTGTTAAAGGGACTGTAAAGGAAAAATGAAAGGGGTTATAGGCTGAAAGCTAATCACTTTAGCTCTTGATCACAGTTGTATGGGATTCCATTAGCACCTGAACTAATCAGGGTTCAGCCATGTGTGTGTTGTCTATTCTGAACCAATAGAAATTGCATGGTAGTATCATCTATCTTTCTATCTATCTCATTATCCAATTAGAGATGAATCCTTATATTGGAACTAAACAGTAAATGGAAATATTTACTTCTACTGAAACTAAAGTGTGATCGCGATCCATGAAAGTTATTTCTGATGTTCCTGTCTCGAGAAATTGATATAAAACTGTGTCAAATTTATACGAAAATTTATATATATACAATTTTGTATAAAAATGGTAGGTTTAAGCAGATCATATTCAAAAAATATGCAACCAATCTAAAAACGAAGATATCCCAGAGAAACCTATTGTAAGTTACAATTAGGTTTCTCGCGGATATCTTCGTTTTCAACTTGGTTGCGTATTTGCTGAATATGATCTTTTTAAACCTACTATTTCTTCCAATTATAGATATGTCTCTATATTGTGTGATAGACTGAATATAAATTATAACTTTCCTATGCACACTAAACTTTTAACCGTAAAGTTTAGTCCATGTAATTCAAACTTTTCAAATATCTAAATTGTTAGGTGGTTCTTTATCTATGTCGATGGGTCAAAAAATCATAATCATAAAATGAGCTTCATTGTTCAAGCGCCCTGTAACTGGAAGATTACACCATAGTATGTAAAAAATGAAAAATAAAATGCCAAAAATATAAATTTAGAATTCCATTTTTGAAAGAAAAACAATTCTAACTTTGCTATTTATATTAATGCATAAAGTTTTGGAAACTTAAAATAACAACATATTTGAAATTTCTGGCAATTTTATTAGTATTTTGCACTACACTAAATATTATGCATCAACTATTGAGAACAGACCAACTTTAAACTGTCGCCAGACCTAAACCCTTGATTTTACATATTTCGCGCAAGAACAAAAATTGCGCCTATTATGACAAAATTTGAAAATATACATTTTTTAAAAACCTTTGACTTAGCCAAGATAAACTAAAAGTACTGATTTAAAGTCTATTGAGTCTTAATTTAGGAAACCATTTTCACTCCTTAAATGTATCAGATTTGCCAATTTTGTTATTTTATACTTTTTGTTGAACTTTGTATTTTAAATATTTTTCCTTCTTTGTTCTATTTTAGAAATGGGCAGAAAACTGTACAATAGTATTACGAGAACAGTTACGCGCAATTTCGATTTTAAATCAATTTTAAACCCTGTTATATACTAGCTTAAAAACCCAGGTACGCCTGAAGTTTACCCTGTAAAATTGAACCCACTCAACTTAAATGTGTTAAAGCAGTCCCCCAGAACATTCCCGTAGTTCTACTGTGTTCCCCAATCAAATTGTGAGGCAAATTGGTCCAAAGGTTCATAAGTTGTAATCGGACATCCAAAAAACTAACAGAGATTACTACTTTATAGTACAAATACATAGATACTTTGTGTAAAGATAGGACGTCATAAAAGATAAAAAAGGGATAAGAATAAGATTATCTATCCTTTATAGATATTATGTAAGCGTGTTTTAGCTTTTTAGCCTACGAAACATCGTTGTATTGTATGAAAAAGTGATTCTAGTAAGTAAAATTTCCATAAAATTATTGGAAAAGAGATCCAGCACACTTTCAAATGTTTAAGTAATTTTTCAAATGAAAACGGCATTTTAGAGAAANCTAAACAAAATATAAAGTTAGTAATATCTGGAAATTATTTTTTAAAAATTTTCCTTCTTTTTGTTTTTTCCTTCCTGCTGCTAGGATATTGGATATATGTATTGTGTATGTACTAGATATGATTACGATGAATAATGCAAACATACAAGCCTTGTATGTATAATATGATTGATATAAAGATTATCAGGATTACAAACTTTTTATCCATTTAGCGTTGATTAAACAAAATAGTTCCATAACGAAAAATTAAAATTATTTAATGTTTTTAAAAATATTTTCTTGTCTCTTTTTCACATACCTAAAATAAAAAAAAAACATTATAATAAATGCAATTAAAACTTTAAAAGTCCAAATTATTTTAAATATATACCCAAATAGATTGGTAAAAAAGGTTATGCATAAAAAACATTCTTTGAACTGCCAACAGTTGCAATAAACCATTTCACAAGTTCACAATGCATAAGGTATAAAATACAAAGGAATATAATTGTCCTTAATCAGCGCGGAATTATCGTGTCCTAATTAATAATAAAGTAATAAAATTACTCACAGCAAAAGCTCTGTCATTCTTTTTTAGGAATTAAAAATAATGTATTAGAAATCGTCGAAGATTACTTTTCAGAAAGTTAGAAATCAAAAAAAATATTAAAAAACAACAAAATAAAATTTTTTATTGAAAACAAAACTTCTTCTACATGCAGTCTTCTTTTAGTTCAAAATGCAGGTGTGTTGACATGAAATCGGTAAATTTTTTGGAAGAAAAAGTAGATTTTGTTTATGTGATGCGCCATAGTAAAAATGTTCAAAACTCTTGATGTTTTCTACGACCAACCCTTCGCTGGTTTTCAACAGCGTTCTCTTGTTTAAGTTTTCTCCCTTTAAACCAATAATATCCAGAGAATCAAAAATGTTAAAAATTTTGTAAAAAGGTCAACTAAAAAACTAAAAAACATTTAATTTCCTCTAATAATATTTTCGATTTATAAATTTACAATTTCAAAATAATTTAAAAGTTTTTGAGTTTTGCAGCAACCCTTACTTAAAGGAACTGTAAGTGTAATATGATGTTGAGAGTTTTAAGATTTGAAAGTGTTTAATTCTGATAATTCCTGTATTTTTACTGCAGTAGATATTCGCAAGTTAATTTTGTAGAAAATCCGCACTTAGAAATAATCAGTTTTCAAAATTATAGACATTGATGTCTTTTTATATACGTTGTAAATAGAAATTGCCATCTTTGCATATACAGAAACTTGAAATTTTACTTACAGCCCCTTTAGAGTAGGTTAGTTTAAATATTTCTCCAAGTTTATCTATAAATACATTTCTACATTGTTGTTTCTCTTATTATTGGTCCCTGGAATATTTTCGTTTGGATTTAGAAATTTGGAATTCTCTGTAGAAATCATCCACCACACCTTGCAGTTGCAAACCCTAGCACAACATAGCTCAGCATACCTCATTGCTAGGACTTTGCGACATCGTAGCTCCCCTAGTGTTGATGTTACGCCAAAGTATGAGAAAAACAAATTTATTTGGATGCATCTTGGAAATTTTAAACATTAAATAGCTCTTCAATAAGATGAACTATGATTGAAAACAGAGCTGAAAACTTTAGAATGGGATATCCTTAATCCTGATCGGTTAATTAATCTGGAGATTAATATCAAGAGCAAAAAAGGCATAATTTTATCCAGAGATTAAGAAAAAGAGGAGATCAAGCAATGATCCCGATATCCACCATTCAAAAGTTCCCAGCTCAGGTCATATTTCAATCTGACGTGCAATATATTTTAGTTTGAGGTGACAGTAATAATGGGTTCATGAGTTATGATCGAGCATCAAAACAAACAGACAGACAAACAGAGATTACTACTCTATAAACATAGATTAATCCATGTAAGTTTGCGTTTATGAAATTAATCATAAATAATAATAAAAGATAATCTATTTTTCTTCTTATTTAGTTGAATTAGTAAACAGCTAATATGTTCCTGAATAGCGGCAATTAACCGAGAGCAGTTTGCTTCTTTAGAATATTTCACCTAAATACAAATTTTCTGTCAAAAACATTCTAAATTTTCTTTAGAAAAATATTTAAATTAATATTTTATCATTCACCTTCCATGCTTCTAGAACCACACTAACCCTGTCTCCGGATATGCTAACCTAAAAGGGACTGTAAGCGACCCTGCGTGAAAAGATGGCAATGCCCTATTCACAATGGTCCCCTTGAAGTCTTTGTGGAAGACATTGTCGTTTTCCTAGCTTAAAAAATGTTTAATTGTGAATTTCGCGATAATTCCTAAAATACTTAATTGATTATACAAAGGTTTTCATGCAGGGTACTGTCGTGAATCGGGAATTGCCATCTTCGCATGGAGGAGGATCACTTGAAATTGCGCTTACAGCCCCTGTTAATGAAACCATAATGTATAGTTTAAATTATCAAACCACAGAAAGTATTTCGAAAAAACGACCATTTTGCTAGAAATTATGAATAGAAAGATCAGTATATGAACTTCGTCAGATATGACGGAAAATTGTTACAACAAACAAATCTATTTCAATGTTTTTTTTTGTTTTTATTTTATGTTTCAAATTTTGACTTTAAAAACTAGATATAAGAAAATTAGAGTATAAAGAGTGGAAGAGTTTCCTTTGCAATAGAATTAACTCACTTCGGGATTTAAAGACTTGAATTTTAACCTCAAACAAACTAAATTAAGTAAAAATTCCGGCAAAAATATAATTTCCCGTATTAAAACACAAGGCTGTTAAATAAATAAATATATTGGGATTTTTTTATCCGATAAACGTCAACACGGCGTGCTGAGTTGTGCAGTGGTAACTTTAAAAATAAAAAAAGCTTTGAAAAATCTTTGAAATTTTATTAAAAATATTTTCTCACATCAGTTGATATGTTTTCCAAGATTAAAGAAAAAAAGTGTAAAAACAGGAAATAAAGAAAACATGAAATTTCAATTATTTTACTGTAAGATAAACACTTTATTCTGAACTTATCACTATTATCAATAATTTTGTCGGACACAAAAACTGAGTTGACACTTGTGACGTCAGAAAACAGCTGTACTGAGAATGTACAAAATTATTACTAGAATCTATTTGGTTAAAAAGGACTTACCACGTCCCTTACAATTGGAACTATTGAGTTGACCCCAAGTTTAGAGGCCAGAGGCTGCCAGTTCGCCAGCAGAGAGGTTTGTTTACTATCAAAACATCTATGATCAGTATTTTACTTAAGTCCTGTTTATTGAACTATTTAAAATCATAACTTAAGTCCTGTTTATTCAACTATTCAAAATCATCACTTAAATCATGTTTATTGAACTACTTAAAACCATAACTTAAGTCCTGTTTATTAAACTATTAAAAATCATAACTTAAGTCCTGTTTATTCAACTATTAAAAATCATAACTTAAGTCCTGTTTATTAAACTATTAAAAATCATAACTTAAGTCCTGTTTATTCAACTATTTAAAAACATAACTTAAGTCCTGTTTATTAATCATAACTTAAGTCCTGTTTATTAAACTATTAAAAATCATAACTTAAGTCCTGTTTATTCAACTATTTAAAAACATAACTTAAGTCCTGTTTATTAAACTATTAAAAATCATAACTTAAGTCCTGTTTATTCAACTATTTAAAATCATAACTTAAGCCCAACCAGCCGTCTTTATATTCCATAGTTTTATGGTTCTCCCTGTAATACCTGAGCCAAAAAATCATATCGTCAGTGAGAGGCAGTTCTCGAATTGTTCTGAAACAAAAATAATAAAATAATAAAAGCTAAATGCTGAAATAAGTAGAATCATAAAATCTGCTGAATACAGAAATCAGTTGTTTACGGAAATCAGCTGAATTAAAAAATCTGCGAAATACGGAAATCAGCTGAATACTTCAATCAGCTAAATTCATAAATCAGTTGAGTATGAAAATCAACTGAATCCTGAAATCTTTTTACTACAAATGTCTTATTTAGAGAACATTTTAAACTATCACCGTTAATATTATTTCACTTAAAGCTTATTAACTTTGATGAAATCCATTAAATTAAAAACTGCCAAAGAAATTTATTTATTTTTCAATGAACACTGATTTTTAGAGCGTCACAGAATTTTTAAATCGTAATTCTTATGTAAAATTCTTACTTGGTATTTTGACAAATTAGCAGCTGAAACCCATCTGCCAAATCGGCTGCTTTAGGCCTATACATAGTTATATATATTTAAAGGAAATAATGGCAATTCCGATTTCCAAAGGTACGCTTAAAACTTCTATCTGGGTAACAATGAGGAAAATATCATTGTTTTTAGACAATGGTGTTGTATCTCCTTGCATCATGAATTCAGAATTGAAAATAATCATTTTCTTAATTTTAAACAAAAAAATATCACATTCGTCCTTGATCAGACAGTGTTTAAAGGGTACCGTTGTGAATAGCATATGCCAGTAATATATTAACAAAGTGGATTTTGAATAATTGTGCAACTGCTTATCTGTGTTAATTCTATGTTCGACTGAACAATACATTGAATCCTTTTCATAAATGTCTTGGTGTTGAATTAATACATTAGTTGATATCTAGTTGATTGGAGACTTACCCTTTAAATATTCTCTTTACCTGTGTTCACTTTTATAACTCAGACAATCCCAAAGAAATTCAAAAGAGGACCACCGTATTTTTAATCCAAATCTTTTTTAATCGAAATCTGAAAGATGCCGTATTTTTAATCCAAATTTGAAAGATACCGTATTTTAATCCAAATCTGAAAAACACCGTATTTTTAACCCGAATCTGAAAAACACCGTATTTTTAATCCAAACCTAAAAAACACCGTATTTTTAATCCAAATCTGAAAGATACCGTATTTTTAATCCAAATCTGAAAGATAACGTATTTTTATCCAAATCTGAAAAACACCGTATTTTTAATCCAAATCTGAAAGATACCGTATTTTTAATCCAAATCTGAAAGATACCGTATTTTAATCCAAATCTGAAAAACACCGTATTTTTAATCCAAATCTGAAAAACACCGTATTTTTAATCCAAATCTGAAAAACACCGTATTTTTAATCCAAATTTGAAAAACACCGTATTTTTAATCCAAATCTGAAAAACACCTTTTTTTAATCCAAATCTGAAAACACCGTATTTTTAATCAAAATCTGAAAAACATCGTATTTTTAATCCAAATCTGAAAAACACCGTATTTTTAATCCAAATCTGAAAGACATCGTATTTTTAATCCAAATCTGAAAAACATCGTATTTTTAATCCAAATCTGAAAAACACCGTATTTTTAATCAAAATCTGAAAAACATCGTATTTTTAATCCAAATCTGAAAGATACTGTATTTTTAATCCAAATTTAAAAACCACCTTGTTTTCTTCACAATCAATTTTCATGATTTGAGACTTATTCGAATTTTTTCTGCAGAAATAATGTAGAGCATTGTTAGAATTTAGGGCTAAAGGGCTAAAGTGCTAAAGGGCTAAAGGGCTAAAGGGCTAAAGGCAGCTAAAGGGCTAAAGGGCTAAAGGGCTAAAGGGCTAAAGGGCTAAAGGGCTAAAGGGCTAAAGGGCTAAAGGGCTATAAAGGCTAAAGGCAGCTAGAGGTTACTGTTTTTAATTGGGCAGATTCAGCCTCCTTAAAAAAGTCTCATTAAATATTCAAAACAGGGTCGACTTTGAAGGCTCACAACGTCTTAGGCTTTGATTTTACCAGCTAACTCACTTACGCTTTTCTGTAGCCCTTTACATGTACTATAGTGCACTTGTTGTTAGCTTTAGTATTAAACAAGTAATTGTCATTCTCATCGATTTTAGCTTGAGAGCTCGAGACCTTTAAACCACAGTGAGGACATGTAAAGATTAAAAACCTGATTGGTTCCTGTTTTTCTACACTGTCAACATAGTTCAGTTTGGCCTAAACAAAATATAAAACTAATAAATTTATGAAATATTTTTTCATTTCGTTTTCACAAATAATGTTTAAAAACGTACAATTTGAATATGTATTTACTTCTAAAATTTTAATAGAGAAAATTGAACGTCCTTAACTATTGAAAATAAATCAAAAACTGGCTCTTTTATGACTCCAGTAACCAAAAATATTTAATTTAAGGAAAATTAATGAAAGTTTTACTATATACCCCAAGAGTTACAAAAAATAAGTCACAAACATTTTTTTCTGATTCAATTATTATAGACCTTAATCAAAATATTTACTGAAAATATTATTTTAAGATGGAATAGATAATCCCTAGATTTAAAGTGAACCTTCATGCAAAGATAAAAATGCCCGATTCACAACGGTACCCTTGAAACCTTTATCAGATCAAAAATGTGGAAGATATTGTCGTTGGTCTTGGTTAAAAAAATAATTCCTCCATGGTTTTCTGCAGTAGAAATGCGCAAGTCATTTTTGTAAAGAAATCACAATTGAAAATAATCAGTTTCCAAAATTATAAACACAGATATCTTACTTATACTTCATAAGAAAAAGCTGTTAATGGTACCGCTGTGAACCATTGCAATCTTTGCATGTGAAATAACGCTTACAGTCCCTTTAAACCTCTAAATTTCAAGTTTCAACTGTTTACCTTTTCAATACAATGAGAGTCCCACATATAACTCTCTAGAACAAACTTGATCAAATATTAAAACTTTGAAGAGTATTGGAATTCGTTAATGTTTTCATCAAATAAATGGATGAATTTTTCATTTCCAACTCCTTTCTATCAATCTTTAACCAAAACACCAAAAGATCTTCAAAACAACATTTTTTTTTAGCTTTCTCTGGGATATCATCGTTTTCAGATTGGTTGCTTATTTGCTGAATTTGATCTTTTTAAACCCACTACTTTTATACAAAATTGTATATATTTTAATTTTCGTATAAATTTGACAAAGTTGTAAATCAATTTCTCGAGATAGGAACATCAGATACGACTTTCATGGGTCGCAATCGAGAGCTAAAGTGATTAGCTTTCAGCCTATACCCCCTTTCATTTTTCCTTTACAGTTCCTTTAAATATTATTTCTAGATATTTCAGTTCCTAAATTGAACTCTAAAAGAATTGCTCCCAGGCACCAAACATCAGCTTTATCATCCCAAACCTGGAAAAATAAACTAATTGGAACAAGATAAAGAGGCAACCGACAAACGGGCTAAATGACATATTGTAGGTTGGGTTAGACACTGATTTGGAAAAGGGCTGCGGTTAGGGCTGGCTGTACTGCGGCAAAATATGTTTATTCTGCATGAATAGGTCCAATCCGACACAGTACAATGATTTACCGGTCTAATGTAATATTTTACTCAAAACAGTCCGACCAGCATTGTGCAGCGGACTAAGCGTGCTTTATGCAAAAAAATGTAGGATGGCTGGATACATGTGTTTGGTTTGTTTATGATGATAAAATATACCTGATGGTTTAGAAGGATTTCAGGTGGAATACCTGATGGTTTAGAAGGATTTCAGGTGGAATACCTGATGGTTTAGAAGGTATATTTTTAGATATCTATTATTATGTATTTTCAGAGTCGTAAACTTTAAAATGAACGAAATGAGTTCTCAAGATCAAACTGAAGAAGACATTGATCATATATTCTAATTCTAACTTCTAAACTTTAGGATAAAAAATTGTTTACATAACTTGATTTGATGATTTATTAAATTAGATTTATTTAGATGTTCCAAAATTCGTAAAACATTTAAACTAGGAGGTTGATCGAAAATTAATATTTCTCAATTGTTGACTATTTTTGGGGTTTACCTTCTCCTGAGATTGTACAAAGATTTTACTTCCGGTTCCTGTATTAACTTCAACAGTGTGTGTCCTAAACCATTTCAAATTAATTTTACAAAAACGTTTGGAAGAAAAAGTAATGAAATTGATCATCAACAGAGTTTTCTTAAATTTTCCTTTGATATTTCAAACTTTCACTCCTGTATGCCGAGTCTATTAGTTCAGTCATGTGTTTGTTGTCTATTCTGAACCAATAGAAATAGTATGGCAGTAACATCTATCTTTCTATCTATCTCATTATCCAATCAGAGTTATGAATCCTTCAATCGGTGCTATCAGTAAATGGAAATATTTACTTCAACTGAAACTATAGTGCTTTGAGTGTTAGATCTAACAGAATTAATAGTTTCAAATATCAAGGGTTTCAAAGGATAAGACTTCATAGACGACTGCAAGAAATTTATTCTCTCTGTTTCCTTTTATTTATGATTCCCTCTATCTATATAATTGGTTTTCTCTTTGTCCAATCAATAAAATGAGTACAAGAAAACTGCAAGAAAACTATACTACAGTCAGAAAACTTAATTGTAATACTTGAAGAGTTTAAGATTGTATATTTACAATAGAATATATTTTTGTTTACCTGTCAAAAACTCCGTTACAATCCAGAAGTTGAGTTCCTCCTTGTTTGCCACAACACCATAATACTGAACTAAACTAGGGTGCCTACACCTACAATTCCTTCCAACCTAGAAGAGAATAAAACTGTTTATTTTTATATTTTTATTTTATTTTTATGTTCACCTCTTTTATGATTCCGTCCTCCATTAAGGAATATTCATCACCAACAAAAGGATTTGAAACCTATCAAATGGATTTTATAAATTGAACTTATCAAAAATCACATTTGTGAAAACTTTGCGCTAGGCTAATTTAGAAGTAGACCAGGCCTGTACCTATGTTTTACCTTTTTAACCCACCTAACCCATTTTTTCTCTAGATATGAAGATTTAAAAATGGTGTTTTATACTTTAATTCATGTGATTTAAAATAAAACTTTAATTGACAATAGAATTAAATAAAATATAATGTAAAAGTAATCCCTCTTTCTTACTTTAGGACCGTTCCCTTTAAATTCTCTAACCTTGACGGCTACTGTCATATTTTTGTAAGTTCCTCTGAAAGCAATTCCAAACTTCCCACGCCCAAGCTCCTCATGTATCTCAACTTAAAATAGCTATTATTCAAGCTCTCTTATTATTAATGAAAAAATNCAGGGTTTGATGGAGCAGTGGTTAGTGTGTTTGATCCATAATCCAAGGATTCATGGTTCAAGCCCCGCAACTGGAAAATTAAGAACTGATGAATTGAACCATACTGATGAGTCCTTATAGGACGAAGCACTGTGTCTATATATATTTATATAAATGTATTTATATATATATATATATTTAGCAGAAGAAAAAATATTTGTTGCTAGTTTCCACCTAGAAGATTCCTTTCATATTGAAAAGACAAAGGCCAAAGTAATATATGTATTGTTAGTTATATAACATATAAATATATATACAATCATAAATCAAATATTTATGTTAGTAATAAAGCACAAATCTTGGACATAAACTATAGCACAAAATTAGAAGATATTTAAGCTGCATTTAATGAAGTGTAGAGATGTAATTCCAAGAAACCCTTTCTTTATAAAATGGCATGTCCAATTAACTTTGGTTACCTACCTATCCAAAGTACAATAAGAAAGCTATCGCTGATAATCAATATAAATCCGGCCGGCCATTAATTACTTTGAAAGAGAAACCCCGATAAAAAATGATAAAAGAATTGAGTCTTTGCCACAAACTTTGGTTTTCTAATCGTTATATATTTTCAACGCAAAGTCGTAGACCTTAGATATTTCAAAGTATGAATTCTGTTAGATCAATTAATCCAAGTTTGAGATATCTAAAGTTTACAACATAAGATTGCAAAGATATATGTATAAATTAGAAAATTTGAGTTTGTGGCTAAAACTAAATTTCTTTTCAGATAAAAGACGATACATTTAGTTGTATTAATCAGATAAATATGTGAATGGTTTTACTATGTTCCACTATAAATAGAGAGTCGCTTAATACTATGTCAGCATAGTCACTTTCAGTAAGTATATCTCTTAAATGCAATAATTGTGTGCATAATGTGCATTTCTCTTTGTAAAAACACGTCATGTTTAAAGGGGTGCATACTAATAGTTAATACCCTTCTCAAAAGGTTCGGTACAAAACCAGAGATTTAAGCTGTAACTAGTAAATACACACTTAGATCAGATTTAATTGTGTAACAACTGTGATGGATTCTTTTTCATAAAATGATTATTTTTTAAATCTCAAATTTTGGAATGAATTTTGTTTTACCTTGATTTTTATCAATCAGCCATTTCTTGCGTTTTCTCCTTACTTTCTTCTCCTCTCTTGAGTTAGTGTCCGATCTGCTGGAGTCCTCACCTTTATATTATTAGTGGGACTATTTAAATATTTTAAAATGCATGTACAAATAAAAAATTAAACAAAAAATTTCTAATCCCCAAATATCTGCACCCTGATGGTGTCAACCTTTAATATTATAAACCTTAGATTATTTGATTTAGCAGAATTCATAATATGAAATATCTAAAGTCTCCAAAATCGGGTTGCAAAGATATCGGGATTTAAAAAGTCTTTTTCTTTACAATAAAGGCAATGTCTCAAGGTAAAAAATGCAATATTTCTCTTTTTCTGTTTGTTTTTGCAAGTTTTTCTCTTTTGGACGATTTCCATAACTTTTGACACTTTTTAAGGATGTTTTTTTTAATTCAGCAAGGACGCAAAGATAATATTTTTTTGAAGTTTAATAAAATTTGAAACCTGTGCTACTCGCTTCATTTGCTTCCTCACATCTCTCAGTCTAAACATTTTTCAGAATAAAAATTATCTCTGTCATTTTTAAAATTACATTTTTCATAATAACAATGATATTTGTCATGATTAAATCATATTTTTAAAATAAAAATCATATTTTACAGTTTTCTTTATTTGAAATAAGATTTGTATTTTTGATAAAGAAATGCTATTTTGCAAGATAAAATCATATATTTTAAAATAAATATTATTGTCTTCAATATTTAAAGTTACTTCTGATTTAATTTCAAGTGATCTTCTATTGAAAAGTGGTCCGACGCGATGGTTCCCTTTAAACTCTGAATAACTGTTTTAAAAACCAAATATTGTTGATACATTGTTTTTTTGCAGCATAAATCCGCAAAGCCTAATTATCCCAAATGGACGTTCAACTTTGTAAATAAAGGCTCACTTAAAATGTCGTATACATTCCCTTTAAAAAGCGTTATAGCGACCTGTTTCTTTCTCTGCCACTGCTTTACATTCTCCAACCAGAGCAAGAAATTTTTCAAACTCAACCTTAATGCAGAAAAAGAATAAAACTATTGAACAAAACCTCGTCCCCCAAAAAAAGNCAACTCAAATATAAGGTCTTTTTGATTTATCAAATTGTAAAAAAGCCGATCATTGTTTATTGAAACTTGAACACTTACAAGTTAGTTCACATTGAGAACTAAATCTACTGTATTCATCCAAGAAAAATAAAAGTAAAAGCAAAAATTGGTTTGGTTTTTAGGTTATGTAGATCTGTGCATAGAGAAATATAGCAAAAGGCACATTTCAGTTTCTCCCATGGTAAGATAGAGCTTTCAAAGCATCAATGAATTTTCTTACAATCAGATTTTTTAAATATGAATTTTAATCGATCAAATAATCTAAGATTGAGATATCAATAATTTACACCATCACAATTTTCAAATTAAAAATTCAGGTTTTTTTCATATTTATGAATAGGTAAAGTTTATTAATTGGATTGCTGACTATTTGTGACAGTTAAACCCTAAATAAGCCAAACATTGAAAAAATTTATAAAATGTCGTATTCTTCACTTTCTGAAATGTTGCAGATATATAGTTTTTTAATTAAATGATTATATAAAGCTCGTTAAAACTGTTCCCGCATATTTATGGCTATTTATTTATTTTTGCCAATACTGAGATTTACGTAAAATAGTAAAAAACCCATTGAAATATTGTCAAGACGACATTTGATAAATGATGTATGGCTCATTTAGGGTTTAACTGCAAGTATACACGGTTATCCATTAAGAAGAAAACTTGAATGCCGACAAAAAATCTCGTAAAAACTAGTTTTCTTCCAAAATATCATTTTATGGTATACAGATTACAGATACAGAAAATCAAGAATACTGAATTAATTCCACATTGTTGTCTATGAACTCTCTTTCTGTAGCTACTTAAATACAGATTATAAAACACATCGTTCTGAATCGGACATGCAGTAACACTTGAAATCCCGTTCACAGTCCCTTTAAAATCAGAACCTGTCCTTTATATATTTACCTTCATAACTTCAGAATCCTGTTCTTGTTGATGTACAAGGGGTTGTTTAGAGGGTTTAGGACCATATCCTTCACGCCAGGGATATTCATGTATAAGTACATTTACATCCCCTAAATATAAACATATTTAGGTATTTATGTACTTCGTCTAACCCCCGTCTCCCTTCGACTTCCCCTTTGAAGAAGAGAGC